GGGGTTCAAGATTTCTTGGCATATGGATTTCTGTGCTCTTCAAGCTGAGGGTCTTAGGATTATGGCTTCAGGGCCTCACGGCTGCTGAAGTGCTGCAGTTCCGAGCGCCAGTTTTCCGCTTTGGGTGCATAGAACTCGTCTAGAGGCCTTGATAAGTCTGTACTTAGAGCAAAAAAAACCCTAAGCCCTAAACCNNAAACCAAAAACCCTAAACCCCTAGACCAAACAACCCTGAACCCTAAACCCTAGTAGGGTTTTGGGCAGGCTATGATACACTTACCTTACTCAGAAACCCTCAGGAGGGATGTGGGCAATTTTAAAAGGCCCCTTTAGTGTTCGTTGCCTTGGAGATAGGGTTTAGGGTTTAGGGTTTAGGGCTTAGGGTTTACGGTTTAGAGTTCAGGGTTTAGGGTTTAGGCTTCAGGGTTCAGGGTTCAGGTTTCAGGGTTGAGGGTTGAGGGTTCAGGGTTTAGGGTTCAGGGTTTAGGGATCCCTATCAAGGAGTCACTGTGAAGCACCACGCAGAGCAGGCCCACGAGGAGCATTCGGCGAAAAGCAATGCCCGGTGTCCTATGATGCCAACACCTCCTCTTCTGCTCATTAGATTCCACTGTCAACCCGCAAGCCGAAATCATAAACTTCTCTACATGGGGTTTAGGTGCCTCAGGTTTAAGAGTCTAAAGTGCGGCTTTCCTTTGTTCAGAGACCCGGAGATTGGCAGGACTTGGATGTATGGTTTCAAGGTTTCGGGTTCAACATTCGGGATGTGAAGAAAGGGTGTGACAGGGTGTGAACATGTTTCTCCACTACGTCAAGGTAGTGAGTTCGATCAGACGCAAAGCCAAACTGCGAAGCCCCAGATCCTCTCGGTAACCTCAAATCCTAAACCCTTATAAACCCCACACACTGTTGTGTGTTGCATACATATACAACCGCGCCTGGCTTGGGGTGTACTCTTACCGTCTCACCCATTGCCGAATTCTGTATATGACGGTTCAACTTACTGAGGACTTCAGGTTCGCAGCTTCGGGTCGGTGGATAAGCAAACACGGGCCCTGAACCCTATCTTCTCATCCGGGCGTATGTTCCGATGAAGTAATGAGGCGCGAGAGGAGAAGTCAGCTTGTCACAAGACCCTCTTTCTTGCAAGCAGGTACTGAGACACCCGTGACCTTGACAACCTCGCCAGCTAAAACCATGTTAGGACTGAAACCAAGAGTACCAGCCCCTTAACCAAAATTGGCCCACGAAGCTTTACCGCCAAGTCAAGATCGGATTTCGTGCAGGAACTGCATCGTGAAGTTGTCTTGCTCGGTTGTCAAGTCCATGGCTGTTGGAGCAACTATCGATGTCAAAGCTGGCTAAACCCTACACCCTAAACCCCTAAACCCTACACCCTAAACTGGCCTTGATGGCCATCCTAACTCTAACTGAAACGACTGTGCAGGCATCAAGCCAAAGGGCGCACACTCTGGAAGAACGCACGGTTTAGGGTTCAGGGTTTAGGGTTTAGGGTTTAGGGTTGGGCTTTGAATAGTTTCACACTTGCTCACCCCTTTTCGGTGCAATAGCAGCTCTCCCGGATAGTAGATGAGTCCTACGACTGTCAGCTGCTGCTACTGATGCTGATCTGCGGCTCCTCCTCCTCCTCCTCCGCCTCCTCCTTCACCCCCGCTGGTACCACTATGATGTTGTCACGTTTAGTTCTACAGTACTGTGATGCACCATATACTGTATCTTACACATACCACACATAATTGTAGATGTGAATATGCATGAAACTGTGGGTGTATGCATTTATACATAGTACAAAGATAGATAGATACGTAGATAGGTAGATAGGTAGGTAGATAGATAGGTAGATAGATAGATAGATATACTTACATATTCAAACTGCTCTGACCCTTACTACTTCGGACCTGACTATCCTACTACATACATCTATCAAAACCCCAGAACCTATCAAAGCCTGAGGCGGGGTCGCGCTTGGGCTTTCTGCCCACAGCCGGGTCTCTCAGAAATCACATGGGGAGCTGCATGGCACAGGCTGACGTAGGCTTGGCAGACCCTCTTCCATCCGCCTGATGATGCATTCACTGCCACTTTGACAGGCCCCACAGGGGCAAGCATCAGTGCGGCCCCCCCAAGCAACTCCTGCTCGCACATGTACCGGGGCCAAGATCGAACAGCAGGGCGATGTAGGGTTCTAGGATGCAAAGATGCAAGAACTCCTTGAGGGTCTGAGAGGACAGCTTCAATCCTACTCCCTGGCACTGATCTCTACCCTTATAGTCTACTTCTAGTACCCCGATAGCAATAGCCTCCCCCACCCTAAACCCTAAACCCAAAACCCCAAACCCGTAACGCGAACCCTGTTCTGACTATAGAGGCCACCATGCTATGTCCTGCATAGGTTCAAGGATGGGGCCACGGGCTGTGAACTTCGGGGTTTCGATACGTCCTTTCCTACTGGGAGGTTCATGGCACTTAATAAATACAGTTACAAGTTTCGGGTTTAGGGCCGGTTTAGGATTTAGGGTTTAGTATAGGGTCACAGTTACAGGTGCCAAGTAGCAGAGCTCGACAAGAGTATATACAAGGGTTTCTGAACGGGTCACGAAGGCTGTCTGAAGGGCGTCCATAGGCGTTACCAGAGGTGCTTCTGTATTACAAGGGATAAAGGGTTTAGGGTTTAGGGTTTAGGTAACCCTATGATAGAAGGCTTAACCCTAAACCCTAAACCCTTATTGCAGGGAACCCAATTATAGAACCATAGTACCCTTAATGGGGTCTACAAGAGGTTCCAGGGTCCGAAAACAACCCCAAAGATCTGAGTTACGGCTGCTTCTATGGTTTAGGGTTTAGGGTTTAGGGTCTCATGCAGAAACCCCTCTTTCAAGTTGCTTAGGGTTCATAGGACTTTAGGCTTTAGGGTCCGCTTCAAAAAACTAGTGTGCGGCTTTGGGCTTGGAGTTTAGGGTTCATTCGGGCTCCGGGTGAGGGTGTATACGAACAAGGAGCACCTTACACACAAAAAGCCACGAATACAGTACTGCAGAGCCACATAGCAGCAAGTTTCGGGTTGAGGGCATAACGGCTTCAAAGTTTGAAGCTTGCGGTATTGGGGAGTGGAGCTCGGTGTTCAGAGTGCTCTCCCATTCAGGCCACTGCATGTTCAACGTCTTGGATGTTGCAGTTCCCCTGCAAAACGGCTGCATCGATGGGATGGGTACTCGGCAGCCCGAAAGCAGGAAGGTCTTCAGGTCTCGGGTCTGGAAGTACAACACACCTGAACCCCCTAAATCGAATCCCTAAACCCTAAATCCCTACACCCCTATACCCTAAACCCGAACCCTAAACCCTNNCTAAACCCCTCAACCCTAAACCCCATGTACAAAAAAACCCAAAGCCTGGAACATGCACGGCAACCACTCCCCCCCCCAAGCCTCAACCATAACCCAGAGCCCCAGAACTCTACATCTTCAGCCATATTCAGTTCATTGCATTGACATATACAGTAGCTAACCAAACCAGAGGTAATGCTCTACACAACAGCTGCAACAATCAACAAAGGTTCTTGATTACTTGGTAATCTTCAACTACATACCGACAACGAGGAGATGAACTTCCTGCTATGGTACCCAGCTCGAGCTAAGCGAAAACACGGTGCAACTTGCTTCGGTCTCAGTTTGGCATGGTGGCATTGTATAGGCCAGCCTGGCATGGCGGATTTTTGGGGTAACCATTTTGTTGCAAGTTCCCTGACTTTTCTGAGTCTCCCACTTAAGTTTGAGTCAACCTCTACAGCCCAGGAGGCCACCGAGTCTCAGCAGATAGTGTCTAGCGTACTTAAAGGATCATGGGACTTAGTAAGTAGGGTTATAACTAAGGTAACTATACTTATAACCCCAATTAAAGGACTTATAACCCTACTTACTAAGTCCCATGATCCGCCAAGTAGGGCTGTTGGATCTTAGG